TATAAAAATAAATTAACAATCCAACTTTTATAAAAACATTAGACAATTAATTTACCAATTTTTACCCCTAACTTTTCATCATCAAAAACTTTGTGTTGTTTGAAACTATCTCTTCTTTTACACTTTTTATTTTATCTCTAAAACCAAAAAGACCAAAAATATTTTACAACTTCTTTTGTAAACTTTTGTTTAAATTAAATTAACTCACGTCTCCCTGAGGTTCGACACCCACTTACAAGGGTTCTTTTTAGTTGTTAGTTTTTCCCGTTCTATACTGCAAATCACTAAGTACTCTCAAGTCACAAAGATTATGCAACATCACAAAGCATGCCAAAATAACTCACGAAGAGTCGAACTCTACCATTGGGTCATCGAGTTTAAAAACAAAAGAAAAGCAAAAAAGTCACAAAGACAAAAAAGAACAAAACATCAATACACAATCACAGAGATAAGTTTAAAATCTTTTGACATAAGGTAAATTTTTCAACAGGTAAACACTTAGTACCCATGTCAGCTGGATTAGACTCCGTAGGAATTTTCTCCAGCATGACAATGCCGTTTTCAACTATGTCTCTAATAAAATGAAACCTAAAATCAATATGTTTTGTTCTATCATGAAAAACATGATTTTTGCATAGTTGAATGGCAGATTGACTATCAGAAAAAACAACCACATTCTTATCGAGCAAGCATATTTCAGATAAAACACCTTTAAGCCAAATGGCTTCTTTAAAAGCATTTGTGGCTGCAACATACCCAGCCTTAGTAGTAGATAAAGCAACAATGTGTTGAAGTTGAGATTTCCAACTAATGCAAGAACCACACAAAGTGAACACGTAGGAAGTAGTAGATTTTCTATTATCCCTATCGTTTGCATAGTTAGAATCCACATAGCCAATCAATCTAACACTTTTATCACTTCTTGAAAAAGTTAAACCAACATTCCTAGTAGATTTTAAGTATCTCAAAAGTCATTTTAGAGCATTCCAATGAGCCATACCAGGATTAGACATGTATCTACTCAAACAAATAACATCATTAGCAATATCAGGCCTAGTGCTAATCATAAGATACATCACAGAACCAATAGCATTCGAATAAGGCACACTTTTTATTTCATTAATTTCAGCTTTAGTTTTAGGGCACATATCCTTACTCAACACAAAGTGAGCAGCTAAAGGAACCTCCACAGATTTAGCATCAGACATAGAAAATTTACTCAAAATCTTATCAATGTAGGAATTTTGATTTAGAACAAGAGTAGATTTCTTTCTGTCCCTAACAATATTCATGCCAAGTATTTTTCTAGCATCTCCTAAATCTTTTATGTCAAAATTTTTGCAAAGATAATTTTGAACATGCTCAATAAACTTTAAGCTAGGACTAATGATTAGCATATCATCCACATAAAGGAGAAGAAAAACAGGAACAGAGAAAGTGTTCTTGAAGTAAAAGCAGTGATCAGCATTACTTCTCTTAAAACCAAAGTTTTTCATGCAATTATCAAATTTAATGTTCCATTGCCTAGGTGATTGTTTTAAACCATGCAAAGCCTTTTTCAACAAGCACACATGATTAGGCAACTTAGGATCAACAAATCCTTCAGGTTGGTGCATATAAATATTTTTATCAAGATCACAATGTAAGAAAGCAGTAGTCACATCCATTTGTTTTAATTCCCAATTATACTGAGCAACTAAAGACAAAATGATTCTAATTGCGGTGAACTTGACAACAGGAGAAAAAATTTCTACATAATCTATTCCCTCCTTTTGAGTAAATCCCTTAGCCACAAGTCTAGCCTTAAACCTAACATTTTCAGGTTCTTGCTTAATTTTAAACAACCACTTACAGTCCACAAGAGAACAATTTTTAGGTTTTGGCACAAGTTTCCACGTTTGGTTAACACGAAGGGATTCCATCTCACATTTCATAGCACTAACCCGTTTTTTAGAACATTTAGATTCTAATACCTTACGATAAGTCTTAGGTTCATCACACTCAAGGGATTCAAAAACATGAGAACCAAACTCAGACATATTACAGTCATCAACATATCTTGCAGGTTTGCTAATGGTTCTTCTATTTCTATCCCTAGCAAGTTGATAGTCATGCAAATCATTTTCAACATGTGATTCTACATTATCATGCTCCACCTCATTAGAAATAGTCTATGTTAGAATAAGTGCCCTTCACTAGAGAGGGGGGTGAATAGTGAGGCACGAGAATGTTTATAAATTTTTGCGGAATAAAAATCGCAGGGATAAAGTAAAAAGCGGAATAAAAAAGCGTAAGGAAAGAACACACCAAATTTACCCTGGTTCACCACAACTTGTGGCTAATCCAGCCTCCCGAGAGACTCTCTCGAGCTACACTACTTCCGTTAAGCTTACGGGTACTTAACAAACCGTTACAACCTGAGAACTCGAGTCCCACGAGCCTCAACAACACTTTCTCGGAGATACCGCACTCCAAGACTTCAACCCGAAGGAAAGTACATTTCCTTCGTACAACCAAGGAAAACAAACTTCCCTTAATGTCTATAAAAACTAAGAACACTCAAGAACAAGGCTCTCTCAAAAGAGTGAATATGAGTAAAGTAATACGCTCAAGATCACAACACGAAATTCACAAAAAATGGTTCTCGAAAAGCTATGAATAATGTATGAATAATATGCAATGAAAGAATAGGATTTGTGAAGTAATGTGATGTGTAAAACAGACCCAAACACCCCATTTTATATTGCCAAAATAGGCTCCAACGGGTCAAAACATTTAAGGGGTGATTGGCTTGATTTATGGGATTTGATTGAAATTGGATCTACTGAAAATCAGCCAGACAGCGCTATCCTAGGCTTGGACATCGTTGTTCTAGGCTTGGGTTTTGAAAAATGGGAAGCAACAGTCATGCCAACAGCGATGTCTAATACCCTTACATCGATGTTTTGGCTGTTGACTTTCAAACAAGGAATGTTTTAGCCTTAAATTCCTTCCAACGGTCAGGTCCCTACATCGATGTTCATTACTTGAACATCGCTGTTTAGTCTGACTTTGAAGGTGGAAAATTTGTCCTGACAGCGCTGTTGCTGGGTCAACATCGCTGTCCAAAAACTTTCTGCTAGGAGCATTTCTTTTTGGCTTAGGTTGGACAGCGATGTAGGGTAGTCTACATCGCTGTTCCAGATGTTTCTGGAAACCCAACCTTGACTCAACAGCGATGTCTAACATCCAACATCGTTGTTGGAGGACTTAACGCCAAACCATGGTTTTCAGCTTCCCATGCCAGACAGCGCTGTTGGTTACACCAACATCGCTGTTGGGCTGGTTTAGCCAGACCCATGGTTGGTTTAGTCATGCCGTTAGCCGATGACAAAAATGTAAGTTCTCTAAAATAAAAACCAAGTATTGAAAACATTTTTTTAATGCTTTTTGCTAAAAAATCAAGTAAAACATCTTGAAAACCACGTCATTTAGTTGAAAACCACGGCTAGCCAAGTTTACGCCGTTTCGCATGGTTTTCACTAAACGACCAAAAACGAAAGGTGGTTTTTGGAGCGTTTTTGTTGGAGAACTATTTAAATATGTCCAAAAGTAAAAACCGATCCTTAAAAGTTGAAAACCACTTGGTTGGTTCGGACTGCAAAAACCAATGCCGATGACCGAAAGCCGAACGCCGGTTTCTGAAACCCGAATGCCGGATGGCTTGGTTTTTGGTTTGGGCGAACTCCAAGTGTTTTTAGGCATGTTTAAAACTTAAGAAGAACATTTTTGAATATGCAAAAAGTATTTTGATGATATGAGCCTAGAGAGCCAAGTTTTGAAAGTTTGTGCCGGTCTTGATCACATTAAGACCGACTCAATACAATTCTAAGTCTTCGTTCTTGATTCTTGGTTCTTTGTTCTCAGTTCATCATGCCATGTTCCTTTGCCTTGGTTTTGCTCAGTTTAATCTTGTTGTTGTCACGGCGGTTTGGCATTATCAAAACTTGTCATAAAACAAACACGGTTTAGTACGACATAGGCGTGAACCCGTGTTCCAACAGTCTCATCTTCATTAGTGTGTGAATCATGGTTGATATCAACATGTTCATTAGTTTCTACATGCACATCAGTAGGAATGATAACAGGCAATTACTCCACCTCATTTGGAGCCACATTTTCAACATTGGGAATAGGCAAGGACAAACAAGGAAAATTATTTTCATTGAAAACAACAATTCTACTTATCACAAGTAAGGAACAGTTTTGTGTCTTTTAATACCCCAAGTAACACACAAATTATCAAGTTGTTTGTTGCAAAATTCAAGGCCATTATCTGTCCTAAGTGTTTTTATTTTCTTTCCAGTTTGGTTCTCAATCAAGACTTTCCAGTTTTTAAATTTATCAAAAACTTCAGATTTTTGTTTCAAAAGTAAGACCCAAACTTTCGTAGAATAATCATCAATTATGGATAGAAAATATTGGTTCCCTCCGTGAGTGGAAACACTTGCGGGACCCCACACATCGGCATGCAAATATTCAAGCACATTAGAATACTTAGTTTGAGTAACGGGATTCGGGTTAGGAAAACTAACGCGGGTTTGTTTTTCAAGCACACAAGATTCACAGAAAGGAACATGCATAAGCTTATCACTACCCAAGTGTCCATTTTTATGCAATATTTCAAGTCCTTTATTACTCATGTGACCCAAGCGTTTATGCCATAGAACAGAATTATCAACCACAGAATTTGCATGCTCACAAACAGGTTCAGCTTTGCACACATACAAATTATTTTTCTTTTCAGCTTTGAAAAAAAATGATTGAACCCTTCATGATTTTCATAACACCTTTCCCCCATTTTCCCTCAAACCCCTCATTTTCAAGAGATGCACAAGAAAGCAAATTATAGGACAAATCAGGCACATGTCTAACATTCTTTAAGTTCACAATAGATC